ACTCATATTTACTCATGTAATCATAATAGCTATATGAGATTAGAGATATTGTTCCTTTTCACAGATGAGGAAAACTGAGATGCAGAGGCCGTGAAGTTGAGTAACTCACTGAAAGTCACAAAATTTTTAAGTTGCAGAACTGGGCTTTCAACTGAGACAACCAGGTTCCTGAGTCCAACCACTTAACCATTAAATGAAACGACTCCAAGTAGATATCCAATTTGAGGAACACTGTAGCATAATAATAGACTTCTGGTTATTAAAAATGGGTGTGTTAACACCAAGGTCAAGGGGTTCGAATCCTTGTACCGGCCAACCACCCAAAAAAAAAAAAAAAAATGGTGTGTGAAAAAGACAAACAAAAATATGAAAAAGTATACGGATAAAGTTGTGCATCCATTGGAACTGAAATTTGAAAGATGGATAATATATGGTCAAAGAAAATATAAAATTTGCTATGTATTGTTCAATATTCTCTTTTGATTGGCTATTTTAATTTATAGTTATTACTAATCATTAGAAGCATACTTTATTTAATTCAACAGCTATTTTTGCATTTCCCAATTTTTACATTTTGAATTGAGGAGCCAAATTTTGACCCAAACTTTTAAGTCCTAATATTTGTAATTAGAAGAGAAAGACCTAGCTTAAAAAGTAATATTCACTTGAAAATAGATGGTCAACTATAGTCATAATGCATGAATTATTCACTTGGTTACTCTCTTAACCAGTGCTGTCTGCCTTAACCAGTGCTAAACAGGGTGCTTATCAAATCAAAGAGGTGGGCCCAATTCGGTGGATGAACAAAAGGCAATGATATTTGTAGAGACTACATAGTATTTCATCTTATTTGTGCATTTAGCATTTCGCCTAATCAGTAAACTTAGTCTATTTTCATTTTTCCATATTATAGGGGGAGCACTGTAATAAACATTCTTGTATCTATTCATGCATAGCTCTTTCCTCCAGTATTTTTATTTGGTTAGATTCTTAGAAATAAAATTTCAATTAAAAGGATACATAGTATTCTAGAGATTTTAATGAGTTTGCCAAATTGTCCTCCAGAAACACTCTAGTAATTTACACTTTCACTAGCATGTTCTATAGCTTGTGTTTCTCCAAAATTCTTATCATAAGTTTTTCTACCAATTTGATAAGTGGAAGGAGCAGATTTTAGTGTTTAGTTTTGTATCTTTTTTTGTTAGTGGAGTTAACCATTTACATAGATTTATTAGCCATTTGTGTTTTTTGTCTGTGTATAGCTTTTTTTTCCCCTTTGCCTATTATCTTACAGCATGTGCCTTTTTCACGGTTATTGTAAGAACTTCCTATAGTTTAAGTATAATAGTATTGTATTAGTCCTTTTCTGTTGCTTAAAACAGAATACCTGAAACTGGGTAATATATAAAGAAACAAAATTAACATCTTACAGTTTCTGAGGCTGGGAAGTCCACAGTCGAGGGGAAGAGTCTGGTGAGGGTCTTCTGGCTGGGAACTCTCTAGAGTCCTGTGGCAACGCAGGGTATCCCATGATGAGAGAATGGCACGAGCATGAGAGCTAACCTTCTCCTTGCTCTCCTTATAAAGCCATCAGAACCACTCCCATGACAATCCATTAAACCGTCAACCAATTACTCCATGAATGGATCAATCCATACCCAAGGGCACAGTCCTCTCTACCCAGTAACCTCTTAAAGGCCTCACTTTCCACCACCATATTGGGGGTTAAGTTCCAACATGAGCTTGGGGGGACATTCAAACCACAGCGAATACTTTGATACTGTAAATTTTTTTGTCTTTCAATTTGTTTGTAAAATTTTTTCATTTATTGAAGCTTTTTACATCAGATATTTTCATCCATCCTTTCCTTCATAGTTTTGGCCTCAGGCTGTGAGGTGTTCTGAGAGACATTTGGTGCTAAGTCCCGAACACTTCTTACAATGCTGACTATATCATTTGCTATTTGAACTTGTTCCTAAAATTGATTTGCAGTTCCCCTACTGCAGGAAATTTGGCTTATGCCCACTTTTCCATTTCGTAAGGAGCGTAATTAGCAGTTATTATCTTTATGCACATCCATTGCAAGGTTTTCTTTTCTTTAGGTGAAACTAGAAGCAGAATTGCTGGTGAGAGCTAACACCTACCAAGTCCTTACCACATATTAGGCCCTATGCTAAATGCTAAATTTATATGTATCTTCTTTAGGAGCTGCATATCATTGTGCCTTAGTCTACTGGTGTTTCGTTACCAAAATTGTTCCATTGGAGGGTCGGCCCGTGGCTCCCTCGGGAGAGTGCAGTGCTAATAACACCAAGGCCATGGGTTTGAATCCTTTTTTAAAAAAAAAAGAAAAAAAAATTATTCCATTGGAATGTAGTTAATATGGTTGTTTTGGGTTATCTATTATTCTATGTGCAGTTTAATAAACCTTGTGGGCACTGATACAGGGTAAAAGAATCGCAAACCTCTGGGATATAATTGGGATAGTAACTGTATGTAAAACCAGTTTGGCTTTCCAGAGGAAGGATGATTTCTCTTTGTATAGATTCTGATTTCTAATGCGTTTCTCTTCCTTCTTGCCAAACCTTGCAGGCAATACAGTATGGTACTGAAGATAACAGTACTGCAGTAGTAGTGCCTTTTGGTGCCTGGGGAAAATATAAGAACTCCAGAATCAACTTCTCATTCAGCAGAAGCTTTGCCTCCAGTGGACGATGGGCCTGATTGCGAGCTGGGACGTGGAGTTTCTGTGCAACAGTTTTTCACTGAGCATGTCAAGAAACTATTAGGATCAAAAAAGTTGCCTGTACCAGTGTGACCCTGTGACTCACTAGATCAGTACCCAAGTCAGTGTAAACTTCATAACCATTTATACTGTAGTGTTTTCACAAGTACTCATCATACTTTTGCTTAACTATACATGCTCGATATAAATGTACGTGTAATTAGCTATTGTGAATCTCTAAGTTCAATGAGCAAATAAGAAGTGGTTTTGTTACACTTGATGACTTGATGAGAGTGTTAAATTCCTAATTTTTAAAAATCTTAGGCAGCTGTGGGTTTCTTATGATCATTTTTGTTCTTTATTCATTTGAACAGGTTCTTCAAGTTCTTCAAAACTAGTCAGTTTGAATTTCGACAGCTATTGAATGTGTTATCTGCAAGTGTTTATTTTTAGTAACTATACCGAGGAGTAAGTGTGAAAACTGAGTTCTCTGTTGCCATATTTTGTATTCTGGACCACTTACTGGTAAATGTAACCATGCAAAAGAAATTAATCCAGATAATATGACATTGCTAAATTATATACATATTTATAAGTAACACACTTGTGTATTTCGACTGTCACAGCTCCCCCTCCCATTCATTCCTATTTTTCTGTAATTAAGAATGTTATGTAGAGGTGACTATTCATTAATATCAGAGAAGAAAGCACAGGCCAAGAGTCTTTTGGTCAAAAGAATACAAAGTTAAATACTGACAGTATCAAGTATTTTGTATAAAATTTTCATTTGTTATCTCTAACTCTATGTTTTGTGTTTTGTATATAGTATGTTTATATCACTTTTTGTGTAGAGTAAGCAAGTTGGATAATTTGTTAGTAAAAATAATGCCACATTGACTGACAATGCTATAGACATAGCCTAAGGTTTATGTCTCGTTTTCGCTCATTTCTAAAACCTATGAAAAAGAGTAAATCTAAAACAAACATGAGAACATTTTGTAGGTCAGCTTGCTATGTAATCTACGAGTGTAAAGCTATACTTCTTACCTGCATGTAATTTTGTTGTTAAAATGTGAATCTCTAAATGTGTGTTTGGAATTACATCTGCAGTTTATTTATGCAAACTATGTAAATTTGTTACATGAGTGGATGTGTGTACATATGTATATTTTGGAGTAATATAAAATTAAAGGGAGCAGTTCTGCATAGCTTCCTCACCAGTTGGCTTTTTTTTTTTCCTTTTTGTCTTTTTTACTGACCAGTAACGGGATCGCAACCCTCAGTGTCACGCCCATACCGGGACTGGCAACAGGATCGCAACCCTCGGTGTTGCGCCCGCACCGCGCTCAGCCAGTGAGCGGGAACTGGTCTCCACATGGGATCCAAACCCTCGGCGGGAGCGCCACCATGCTCCCAAGCAGCACACTCTCCAGTGTGCCACCGGGCCGGCCCAGCCAGTTGGCTTTTTAAAAATCTTTTTTGGCAGCTGGCTGGTATGGGGATCTGAACCTACCAGTTCGCTTTAAGTTGAATTATCAAAAGTCTTAAGGACTTTTGATAAACTGAGGGCAGTTTTCTTACAGGGGAGAACCAGTGGTTATTGGCAGATGAGGAAATAGATTAAAAATGGCTGTAGGAGATATTTTATGAGGGGTAATTTACCTGGAAAACCCAGGATCAGAGCCAGCATGCTGAAGCTATATTGCTACATGGTAATTTGTCTGTAAAATAATAGATTGTGAGAAAAATACTCAGTGTTAAGAATGACATGGAATGTTTCGGTAGAAATGAACAACAACCATTTTAACTCTAGCCATCGTTCACCTTTTATTTTTACACGAAACTGGATCCAACAACCCCTCAGGAATCCCATCAAACTCAGACAAAATTCCATTTC